ACACTGTAATTAGCCGGTAAAGTCATGAAAAGTTGAGCAGATTCAACGTTAAAACCAAGTAATTTACTGATCCTGCTCTTAAACAAACACAAAAGAATCAATAAATTACTACAAAAATAATTAGTGTTCTTTCATTGAAAAGGGTGAGGAGTTAGAAAGCAAACGTACCACTCCTCTCAAGGAGGAATCGTAAGTTTAAAGACATTACCACAGAATAGGGCTTTAGCTCGCTAAAAAAAGCAGCGTGTAAGAAACAGTTTGCAAGAAAACACGTTTGCAAAAAAACAAAAAACACACAAAAAAAGAAAATAAAAAAGCAACACAACTCTTTTCTGACTGTGTGGGTGGCTCTGAAAAGAGCCTTTGGGTTATTATGTTATGTTGTGCAAAGTCTGAGCAGCCCCGCTAGATGAGCTTATTTGCTTTTAGCCTTATGGCTCTCAGTCTTCTTGGGCAGCAGCACGGCCTGGATGTTGGGCAGCACCCCGCCCTGCGCGATGGTCACCTTGCCCAGCAGCTTGTTGAGCTCCTCGTCGTTGCGGATGGCGAGCTGCAGGTGGCGGGGGATGATGCGCGTCTTCTTGTTGTCGCGGGCCGCGTTGCCCGCCAGCTCCAGGATCTCGGCCGTCAGGTACTCCAGCACGGCCGCCAGGCCCGACACGTGCCGCGTAGTTACCTTTCCGGAGGAGTCGGTGCACGCGGCCCACGGGGAACTGCAGCCCGGCCCGCGACGAGCGCGACTTGGCCTTAGCTCGGACTTTGCCTCCCTGCTTCCCGCGACCTGACATGCTTTAGACACCTGGCAAACAGCAGCCTCCCCTCGCAAAACAAGACCGAAGCAATCATACTGACGCAACGGCTCTTCTCGTTTTATGCCTTCCCCGGGCGGGATTAGCGCTTGGTGATTGGCTGGAAGCAGTCATTGCTCATACAGCCAATGAGAAGACGGATCGTGTAGTGACCAATGAGACACAATGATACACCTCCGTCCAATCGAATTGTACGAGGTAGAGGGCTGGTATTTGCATAACAGTCCTATAAATAGAGACCGCTGCGGCCATTTTAGGTACTGATTTGTTTCTGAAAGAGGAGAGAATCGCTGTCGAAATGCCTGAGCCGGCCAAGTCCGCCCCCGCGCCCAAGAAGGGTTCTAAGAAAGCCGTCACCAAGACGCAGAAGAAGGGCGACAAGAAGCGCAAGAAGAGCCGCAAGGAGAGCTACTCCATCTACGTGTACAAGGTGCTGAAGCAGGTGCATCCCGACACGGGCATCTCGTCCAAGGCCATGGGCATCATGAACTCCTTCGTCAACGACATCTTCGAGCGCATCGCCGGCGAGGCCTCGCGCCTGGCGCACTACAACAAGCGCTCCACCATCACCTCGCGGGAGATCCAGACGGCCGTGCGGCTGCTGCTGCCCCGCGCGCCGGGC